TTGTATGTTTCCCCTTCCTATATAAGTTGTAAGCCGCCTTGAGTCCCCTCAGGGAAAAGGGCGGCCTATAAATAAACTTAACTACAACTACAACTTTCTTCTAGAGAGCAAATCTGTTTTTCATTCTCTATCTTTAGCTAGACATTTCTTTAAGTTGTCCCTTGACCCACAATCAGATTCGATCTTCTGTAGACCAAAGTTAATTCTGAACCCCAAAGCTGAAAGTGGAGGATTGAGCCTAGCTTGTTTTTTTCTAGCCCTTCCTGCCTGTGGCAAAAGGGCCTTCGCCGGGTAGCCACCCACTTTTGGAACTCCTCTGCTTTGCCTTTCTAGTGCTCAGTGACCTGTGGGAAAGGAACTCAGAGGCGCCCCGTTTTCTGCCCCACTGACACCAGAGCCAAGTGTGATCCAGCCGAAAGACCAGCTTCCGAGCGCGACTGCTGGGCCTCAGCCTGTTGGAATAGGATGGAGAACAGTGTCCCTGACTGGTCCGGGAGTGGCTCTTCAAGCCAGGAACTCTTCAATGAAATTGATTTCATTCCCAATTATCAGGCCCCCAAATTTAGTCCTTCGGCTCCCAAATCTCAAAATGTTATTACAGAGGAAATTCTCCTCCCCAACAACCATAAGAAGGGAAATGTGTTTGTGGATGACTTTTATTATGATTATAATTTTATCAATTTTCATGAGGATTTGGCTTATGAGCTGGTTGAGGAAAAGAACAGTAAAAGGGAAGACTTGAAGCCCAACTTTGGGTTCAAGATTTTTCACACGATGGAGGCGGATCCCCAAGAAGCGCTTCCGGATCTTCCTCCCACCACAGACCTGGAAGTCAAGTTGGCTAATCGAGGCTCCACATCTCCGACTGTTGGGCAGGAAAATGAGAAGGAGCATGCTAATGTTCAGGACAGTAGCGCAACTGACACTTTGCAGGATCCCTTCATTACCCCAGTAGTCACCAGCTCTTCTGCTTTGGTTCATCGGGAAAGCTTCCAGCCATCACTTCCAGAAGTCCATCCTTCCACTTCAACAGTGAAGTCTCCTCCTTTGGGGAGCAGCAACCATGTATTTGCTATTCAAGAACCTCCTTTTATTAATACCTTTTTGAAAGACAACACCGCAAGGCCTGATTCCTCCATCAGCTCTCCTTCCTTGGATGTACTCACTCCGACAATGTCTTCTGTTGAGGACAGTTATGGCAGAAATGCATTTGGTACTCTTAGCAGCACAGAAGATCCTGGTGGAAGGATGCAGGGCCCCAAGATTCCTGAACTCGGCAATAGCAGCGATCATGGTTTATGGGAAATGGTGGAAGAAACCAGCAGGAAGCAGAGCAATAGAGACAGAGTCATTGTCAGTGGTGAAGGTAATATGGATATGGCTTATACAGTGAAAGAAAATCTGGCAAATACATTTGCCACAACAACTGGGGCATCCTACCCCCTTGCCCATTACTTCTCTGCTTCTGCTGGAGCCTCCTGGGCTTTTACTGTTCCGGATGCAGAGATAAGCAGCATCTCAGGACGTGACCGTCTCAAGAATACCCCTTTGCTCATCACTGAGCTTCCATCAGGGACATCTCCCTCCACTTCTGCCTACCAGTCATCTGGACCCAGCAGAAAGACGCAAATGCTTCACCACCCAGACACTCTGATACCACTGATAGCCACCGAATCAAACTCTTTGGATCGGAACTCACCTTTTCCCAACTTTTCTCCCTCTGCGTTGCTTCCTTCAAAGCAGAAGCAGTCTAATAGGATTGAGACAGATTTGGAGACTAAGTCTGTACCTTCCATTAAGGACCTGGAATTCTCCAGGGACAGAAACGAAAGGCCACCTCCCCATGTGCCAACTGCCAGTAGCAGAGGAGGTGCTGGGCGTGAGGTCAAATTTCAGGAACCGGAAGGGAAGATGGCATCTTCTGCCACTCCTCCTGATGCTGTAAGAGCTGCTCTCAATGCTAGCTGGGAAGCTGGAAACTGGAGTGAGGTAAGTTCTCAGAGAAGCCAAGGTTCTTATCGCTGTGGGCAGATCTCTGGCCAGTCGTTTTGCTTCTTCCGCATCCTGGCCTCAGCCAACCTTCTCTTTACGATATGGGTCATTTTGTGGACCAAAAAAGATAGAAAGTTAGAAGATAGAAATGGTTGGGCTGAAGACATATAGTTTCCTGCCTTGGCTGTGGGGGCTTGGCTTTGAAACCTGTCCAAGCAGTGTCCTCTCTCCTGGCCAGCTGTGTATGGTAGAAGGCCAGGGGGGAAGGAGGTGGGAATGGGATCCACAGGGGCCGCAGCTGGTGTGTTAGTGCTTTCTAGAGAGGCCAGAAGGAGAGGCAGCATGACTTCCTTTTGGAAGAGGGAAGAGGCTGACGGGATTCCTGTTGTTTCTAGTGCTCTACAACCTGTGGCCTTGGGGCTGTTTGGAGAGTTGTGCACTGCAGCACTGGAAATGAGAAGGACTGTGACTTGACTAGGAAGCCGGCTCCTGCCCGGCGCTGTTATCTGAGGCCCTGCTCCAAGTGGCACGTTGGAAAATGGAGTAAGGTAGGCAGACCTGATCCCAATTACAAAGACTGATGCGGGGACAGACTTTGGATGAATGGTGGATTTTTCCCTTTGCCCTGGGCTCTCTGCCAAGGCAACCTGTAAGTTGACGAGGGTTTTAGCTTAACTCTGCCTCCCTTCTAGTCTTAAGCACAAGGGGTAGATTTCATGAAGAGAAGCGGCTCAAAATCAGGAGTCCTTGTGGCCCTTTGATGTCCCTTCCTGCTCCTGCCCATCCCCACCACACAGGCGCCTTGGAGTGAGCATTGCCAGCCAATCGTGCGCATGAGGAGCAGAGGAGATGTTTCCATAGATGTTTTCTTGGACTGAGGCAAAGGCGCTACTCGATGAAAAACATCTTCCAGGAGAGAAATGTATTAGCTCCAATTCTGAGGGGAAACGGGAAGCCTTGTTTGTATATCCAGAATGAGGATCTAACTAACCGTAGTTAGTTAATGTCTGTGAGGGACTTTGACAGGAGCTGGAGATTCTGGCTGGGAACCAGATGCTGAAATGTTAGAAAGGAGACTCGGCTTAAAGGATTGGAAGATCTCCCAAGCAGGAACCAGTATGGAGAGTTTTCAGTTATTTCCAAAGGCAGGCCTAAAAACAGCAAGTAGAAATGGCAAAACAGCAGCTTCCAGCCAGCTTTTGGGGGGAACTTCCATAAAGTCAGTTTGTGGGGGAGCCGGTGGCCTCCAGAGGGAGGGGATTCTTTTGAGTCTTTTGAATCTGCAGGGCTGCTCTCCTTCCACCCTGGAGGGTAAATCCAGCACTGAGCAGGGTTTGGACCGGGTGGCCTTTATCTGTATCCCAGAAGATCAGAGGGTTTCTGGCATTACGGCAGACCAAAACGGTCCCTTGTCCTTGGCAGCCGGGTTTCTGCTTTGTGCCACTTATCAGAAGACGTGGCTCCTTTTCTGCTCTTTCTGGTTGTCACCAGTGCTCCAGGACCTGTGGAGGAGGTGTGAAAGTGCGGGGCATCCAGTGCATCGACACCCGGGGCCAGCGATCTCTGCGACCCTTTCACTGCCAGACTGCCTCCTACAAGCCTCCAGCGCAGATGCCGTGCCACACCAAGCCGTGTCTGAGCTGGTACACCTCCACCTGGAGAGAGGTGAGCCGAAGGTCACTGGAAGTGGAGGAGGACTCTGAATGCAACCTGAACCCTTATTCACTAGTCATGTTCCCCCAACACACACGGCCAATGTCAGAGCAGCCAGCTGGGCTTCTTGGACAGGCTGGGATGCTCTTTGGGGAGGGGGACGGCGAGTTTGGCATTCCAGACCTTTGGCTCCCTATTGTCCTGCTGGGCGATGATTCCCTCTGAAGGAAAGCCCACTGCATTCTCCCGCTTTAGCCCAGCACATCCAAGGAGGAGGATCTGGTGCTGCAGAAGAAGCAGCTCCTGCAGTACCAGAGTATCTTCAACTGAAGTTGAAGCCAGCGCTTGCTTACTCCTGGGGGGGTTTCTGGCTGCAATGGCTCCACCGTTGAAGAGTGGCCCAGGGCTCCAGAGAGGGCTTAGCAGGAAGGGAGGCCAGGCCATCCCGGCTGCTTCTGACCCCGATGCCTCTTTCCGCCCTTCCAGTGCTCTGAGCTGTGTGGAGGAGGTGAGCAAGAGCGCCTGGTGACCTGTCCCGGAACGGGGAGGTGTGACTCAGCCCTCCAGCCGAACAGCACAAGGCCGTGCAACACCCAGCCCTGCGCCAAGTGGAGAGTGGGATCTTGGGGGCAGGTAAGCCCCTGGCGGTGAGCGGCCCTCGGCCTCCCTGTGCTCTCAGAGAAGGGCAAGCGGGGGCTCAGAGAGCTCTGTTCCCTGCAGTGCACGGCCACATGTGGCGAGGGCGTCCAAAGGAGGCAGGTGAAGTGCCTGAACACCAAAACTGGACAGGCAGAAGAAGACAGCAGCTTGTGTGAGCACGAACCTTGGCCTCAGAACACCCAGAGGTGCAATTCCCAGGACTGTCCTGCCAACGAAGAAAGTAAGTGGGCGCCTAGGGTGACCTTCTTATAGCTGAATGACCTGGAGCCCCCTTATTAGGGCATCGCTTGGCGTTTGGCTCTTTGGACAATTATCCAATGGGGTCTGGCTGTGCGTTCGGAGGGTGCCAGTGTTGGCTGCGTGTGCAGTTGTTTCAAATGGAGGTGACTGGGAGGTCTTTTTATGGCATCTGGGAAAGTTTTTGGGTTGGCATCAGTGAAACCTGCTGGCAAAGGTTTGGCTGTGTCATGGTTGTGTCCGCTTGGGCAGACTTTCAGAGAAGGCCTCTTTAAGCCACGTGGCAAATGACTTGATAGTTGAGGATTATCTCTGGTCTCTGGACTGGTTACCTAGTTTGTCTGCATTCACCCACAACTGGACTCCCTCTATGACAGGGGTGTCAAACTTGATTTCATTGAGGGCCACATCAGGGTTGTCTTTGACCTCAGGGGGCCGGGGTGGGCGTGGCCAGTTTGACATCATTCCTGTGGGGGGGTGTGCGCCTGTGGTGACCCAAGCGCTCCGTTTTCACTGGGAGAAGGTTGCAGGAGGCCATCCCAGCTGAAAATGGCGCTCAGGAGTGGCAGAGGCACCAGGGGCTGATCCTTTGCTCTTTCCAATGTGGTCTCGTGGGCCAGATCTAACCACCCCAGGGACCAGATCTGGCCCCCGGGCCTTGAGTTTGACACTCCTGGTCTATGACCTCTGGCCTCTGCGAGCCCCTGGATCTGAGACAAATGTCCAAGCAGTGGGATGTCCCAGGTTGACCCTGATTCTCGTTTTTGCTGACCGTCAGGCTTTTCTATTCTCACAGGGGATGATTCTGGTATTCCAGCCTCTTCTCCTTCCTGGGCCTCAGAGGCTCTTTGCTGGTTCAGAAGGGAAACCCGAGAGAGGCCTCTTCCTCCGGCTGCATTCCAAGGTTTTATCTCCACCAGGAATGCTGTCAACAGTGGCCCCATCAGGGTATTTGGCAAGCAGAGGGGAGGGGAGAGGGGACCTTCTGCTTCAGGAGATGGAGGGGAAGAGATTGGGCATTCAGCTGTGGACCTGGTTGCTTCTGCTGGTCCTTGGTTGAAAAGATTGGCGAGATCCCAACCTCTGGGTCCTTTCCTAAACACGGTGTCATTTTTCTGATTTAACTGGCCTGTAGTCCTTGAGGGGAGGGGTGCTGAGTGGAGAGGGGAGGATTTCCCTTCGCCAGGTGTGTACAAAGGGAGGCTGGACAGGCTTCTGCTGGGGAGGCTTTGTCTTGAATTCCTGCCTTGGGTGTGTGAGTCCACCCTTCCACTCAGTAGCTGCATGATTCTTCAGGAGCACAGCCATCTTCCCTGGGAATTCAGGGAGTTGCAGTTCCTACATCTGGGGAACGCTGAGGGACAGAATAGGCTTCCTTCATGCACGGTTTCTCCTGAGAGGCCTTGCTTTCTTCAAGATTATGAGCGCACCTCGCATGGATGCCAAGGCATGATCAGAATCTCTCTGGTTTTTAAATTGTTTTATTTTATTCGATCTTATGCAATCATCCAGACAGCAGCCCGGCCACTTGTGAAACACCTTGCAGGGAAAGAAAGTCTGTTGGTTGTCAGGCAGCTCTTCCCATTCAGAAGGGTTTCCCCCAGTCTTCCCCAGCATCTGCTTCAGGTCTACCACTACTTGTCCTGACTGCTGGAACCACTCTGAATCATTCTGCCCAACTTTTCCAGGACGGGAGGCTTGACGGAAGCCAACCTCCCCGTGATTGTCGCTTCTCTTGGCTAACCACCTCAAACTGTTCCCTTTTAGTTTTTCCTCCCACCATTACAGTGCAATAATGCAACCATCACACAAATCAGGATACCATATTTTTCAGAGTATAAGACGCACCAAGGTTTTGAAGAGGCAATTTTTTTTAAAAAAGTTTTTGCACTCTGCAAACCTCCCAAAAACAGCCCGTTTTCTGTGAAAATGGGACCGATTTTTTTTAAAAAAAGAGGGCGTGAATAGTCCTTAAAAGGCTTATAAAGTGTTCCTGGGCTCCCCAAAAACGAGCAAAAAACTGCCCGTTTTTCACAAAAATGGACCCGTTTTTTGTTAAAAAAGGGGAGGGGCATTAGGAAGCTTATAGAGTAGGGGTGGGTTTCAACTGATATGGACTGGTACGGCCATACTGGATGGTGAAATTTAGCGTGCCCCGTACCCTCCCCTCGTTCACTCTTTCACTCGCCCCGCCCATCCACACCATGCTGCCAAAAAGTTCTCAGAAGAAAAACCAGAAGAAGAAAGAACTGGTGAGTGGCTGGTGAGGGGGAGGATGTTGGGGAAGAGGGAAGAGGCAGAGGGGCTGCTAGAAGATTGTGTCCGTGTGCACAGGCTGTGGGTTTTAAGAAACGTCTGAATGAATCCAGGAAGAGGGAAGAGGCAGAGGGACTGGAAGTGTGGGTTCCTATAGTATCTTCCAGCCCCTCTGCCTCTTCCCTCTTCCTGGATTCACTCAGACATTTTTAAAACTCACAGCCTGTGCACACACAATACTTTTTTAAAACTCACAAACTGTGCACACACAATACTGTGTATGTGCTGTGCACAGGCTGTGAATCTTAAAAACCTCTGAGTGAATCCAGGAAGAGGGAAGAGGCAGAGGGGCTGGAAGAGTGTATGTAAGGTGGTCAGTAATGTTGAAGACTGGCAAGGACAGCCATATTTCCTCTGTTTTATTGTTTTGTGTACTTGTTATTTAAGTAGTAAGTGCACAAAATAATAAATTTCCTTTTTTTATGTCTTCTTTTTGTAGGTCATTCTTTGGGGCAAAGAATTCAGTGACATTGACTTGGCCAATCCCACTCAGTCACATGACTGCCAAGCTACTCCCACCTGGTCACATGACCACCAAACCACTCCCACCCAGTCACATGACCACCAAGCCACTCCCACAAAACAGGCCACACCTACAGAATAGGTTCTAAACATTTTTGAAACCCACACTGTTACAGAGTGTTCCTGGGGTCTGAGGAGGGGCAGAATTGAGCAAAAAATGGGCTTTTTTTGCTCATTTCTGCCCTCCCCAGCCCCCAGGAGCTCTCTGAAAGCCTCCTACAAGCTATGCATCACCATTTTGGTGAAGGGGTAGGGTTTCAGGAGGCCAAAAATGCTGTATTCAGTGCATAAGACGCATCCAGATTTTCAGCCTCTTTTGAGGGAAAAAGGTATGTCTTATATTACGAAATATACGGTAGGTTTGTTGCAATCAACCAGATGTTCAGATTGGATTTGGCATTTTTCTCCCCCTACTGAGCCCTTCCCAAGGATTTGGGACAGGCAGATGAATGTTGATGTTCAGTGGTGTTAAAAGATATCATGGCAGGATGTGAAATGTTCCACATAAAGCTGCCTTTTGCAGTTGATTGATGGTGAATTTGTCAAGGCTGATAATATTCAAGGGATGCTCCACTTGTTTTGGGATTACACCCAAAGAGCCTATGACTATTGGTAAATACCTTTGATTTCTTTTGCAACAGCCCTTCTATTGTATTTGCAGGTCTTTGTATTTTGTTATCTATCCAGGTACTGCCACACCCACTATCCAAGCTTTTTGGTCTGTCTTATTGACAACTGGGATGTTAGGCAGCAGGCGCCTCCTGTTCGTCTGAATTCTGAAGTCCCGGAGCACTTTAACTTCTTCATTTTCTATGACTTTCTCTATTTTGTAGTCCCACCAGGTGTTGCTTGCAGACAGATGGTATTTCTTGCAGATCTTCCAACACACCACTATTGCTACTTTGTCCTGCCGCTGCTTGTAGTCAGTTTGGGTGCTCTTCTTGAGAAGCTAATAGTAGATGCTCTACTATTTCTTCAGCTTCTGTGCAGAGGCAGCATTTGCTTTCTGTTGCTGTATTCTCAGTTCTGCTTTTGTATGCATTCGTTCCTAAGGCTTGGTCTTGTGCAGCCAGGATTAGTCTCACTGTCTCTTTCTTCAACTTTCCTGCTCTTAGCCATTGCCAGGTCTTCTTATTATCTGCTTTGCCTGCTATTTTTTTAACGTACTGGCTATGCAATGTTTTATCTTCCCATACCTATTTTCTATTCTTCATTTGGTCTTGTAGGCCAATTTGTTCTCTCCAGTACCAGTGACGTGCAGTCAGGGGAGGCAGAGCCTCACCACTGTCATCATGAAAAGAAAAAAAATGTAAAAGGAAAAAGGCTGAGCTAGTTGCTGCCAGAGTCACAGTGGATGACTCTGCTTAGTGCTTCGTTGTGATGATATTATGCCCTACTGATTCAGACCCCACTGGCCTAGGAGAAGGTCTCCCGTGCGTTTCCTCTTTTAGAGAAACAAATCTGGCAGCCAATAATAATGGCTTATTTTCTTACAGGTCTTTTTAAAAAAAGTATTTTGAGAAATTATGCCAGAAATCCTGTGAATCGGAGGGACCAGAGTAGGCTAAACAAAGATGGATGGATTAAAGTTCATTTGTATTAGCCATTGGAGGTGACTGACAGTCCACCAAAACAGATAACAAGGGACTCTCCTTTTCTGAGTCTCCAGCTTCCAGTTCATGTGTTTCTGCTGAATTCAGGCTTGTTTAAAAAAATAAAAAAATAAATAGAGGACGCAACCACTTCCCTGTTTTAAGCTGACAGAGAGGCCACTTTTGTGTATTGGTTTGGTGCCGATCACTAGTGCTTACACAACAAACATTTACTTGAATGGCAGAGAAAAAGTATAGAAAAAGGCAACATCCTGATGGGGGGTTTGTGAAACACAAGGCAACATTCAGCCTTTGACCGAGCTGGCCTAACCTTTGCTTTCTGGTGGATTTCTAAACTCCATGGATTAGAAAACAACAGGCATTTGAGGTGCCTCATTTCAATGAGAAAAATAAACTTTTAGCCCCTGGCTAATGCTCACTTCCTGCAGCAAAGATCCTTTTTGTGGGGGTGATTGTGGCCCTCCTCAGAGGGGACGCTTGGCCTCCTGCTTGATTGCAGCCTTTCCGGCTTCTGCACTCTAAAGAGGTGTGGAGGGATGAAAGGATGCTTCTTCAGCCATAGAAGCCCCGCACACACTTTGCAAGGCCCCGAGTTTGTTTTCATTCTTGAGGAAGTGGAGACAATCCACATACATCTCAATGAGCTGACTGGGGCGGGAGGAAGGAGCCTGACAAAAGGGCTTCATGGGGAGCATTGTGTGATGAGATGGTATCACAGCCTTGGATGTCATCGGGGAGGCGCCTGCAATTTGACAGAAGGCTCCATCCTGACGTGTCATCTGATCTTTGAGCAAAAATTGCTTCCTTTTCATTAACCTCTGGTCCTTGTCTCGCCTTTTGGAGTAGTAAAGAACACATTTGTTTAAGCTTTGCAAACCTTCTGATGACATGCTTCCTACTCATTCCAGTTTTGATATGCTCATCCAAGTCTCCCCCATATGATTTGACAGCTTAGATTCCGCCCCCCCCCCCCCGACTCCAACCCATTCCTGCTGCATTTGCAGAATAGGTCATTTGGCTTTGCTATTACTTTCTCTTGCCATGTGGTTCAAGTGGTTTACAAACTGCTTTAGTCACCTGGGACAATTAATGGTTTAAAACTGTTGGGGCAAAGAGTATGCAGTTGTAGATATCCCAGTGGTGGTGGAAATCCTCTGCATCCAAAGGGAGTTTGTATTAAGTGGCAAACTCTCATTAGCAGTATTGGCCAAAACACTCATTCTTGGTACTGTTGCTATTTCGAAGAAAGATGCAGAGGTCAGTTGGACTCACACAACGTGCTTAATGATGGGGCAATAGGTTGGGTGAAGCTCTAAACCCAGTTAGGTGAGAAGTAGGCCAAACCAATGTTTGCCACTCAGTGCGATTGTGGAAACTCCACACTCCGTATCTGTGAGACAGCACCTGTGCCCTACTCAGCCTGTCTTCTGAGGTGGAGAACTGGACACATGGGGAATATGACCGGCCCTCCATTTCAGAGGATCCTGCCTTCTCTTCTTTCCCAGGCTTCATCTGTGACGGTGACCGCCTCTCCTTTGGCTTCTGCCAGACCCTGCTGTGGCTGGGAAGATGCCACCTTCCCGCAGTCCGTGTCCAGTGCTGCCAGACCTGCCACCCCCATGGCCTGCTCCATCGGGATCGGGGTGATGAGCGTTCCTCCCGGAAGTGAACGCCTCTGTGCCCGGGAACCTCTGGTGGGCGAGCGCTGGAGGAGACCCACTTCAGCCAGCCAGCTCTTCCGTCTGTCAGAAACCAACCAATATTTTCTGCCTGGCGTGATGCTCAGTCTCGTGGCTGAGCTGTTTCTCCAGGCAGCCGAAGAGAAGCCTTGCACCCACAGCGCAGGAGGGAGCTGGTGGGGGTGAATGCTGTCTGGCCCCAGGAAAGCAGCTTGTGGAAGCCACCTCAGACATCTCCCCAGTCTACAGTTGGTCATAGTCACTCAGTGTTGGCAGGCCAGCACAAACCTCCTGAGGAGTGATTTTTTAAAAAAAGAATAAAACCAACTATTTTTATATTTTATGCCAATGAGCATGTAGCATTCCACAGAATGTCATTTGATCAGTTGGTTGTGTTATAAGTAAAAAGGTTTTTCTTGCTATAGGTGTAAGGAGCTTCGGACAGTGAAGTTAAATATCCCGGTGCTGGCTGCGCATGCATGTAGGCAAGCATGTACACACACACACACACAAATGGTGCTACTGCTCGAGACGGTCAGGTGTTTCTAGTCTGCCCAGCTTTGGGCAGGTTAGTAGCTCCTCCAGCAGGGCTGCCAGTCCTGTGCCAACCTGTTCTGCCATCTGGTGGCACCTGAGAGTTGCAAGCCAAAAGGATGCTGGTGCAGGACAGAGGGCAACCTGCCCAAGATTGCCAGGTGAGGGACTAAATGGAAACTTGTCTGACTACGCAACTGTTCTGCCTCCTTTTGTCGCAGTCAGTTCTCCCCGAAGCATTATTCCCTTTCCCTCGTGAACTAAGAATGCTTGATATCAGATCTACCTTTTCTGCATTTGTAACTTAACATTGTTAGCCCCACTGACAAAAATGTACCTGACTCAAGATTATGTGTTTGCTCTCTTGCTTTCACCTTGAAATTGGAGAAATGGTGCAGAAGTTCCCTTAAAAGTCTACACTGGCCACAAATCTAAACTTTGTGTAATCTACAAATAACATAAAAGATCAACCTGTTTTAAAGGAAGGATGGGATGGCTTCGCTTGTTGGTCTGTTCGGGGAGAGGGTTATTTTGCCTTTGGGCCCATCTGGACTCCTGGTGGCTGCATGGAGGGGGCCCTGCCGTGTTTGTAGCAGGCTGTGGAAGCAATTTGCCCTTCCTTCTTCTGGGATGTGTTTTGACACCCCTCCCTCCCCAGCTCAAGGGCTAAGAGAAAGGGACTGGCGTGTAGTTGCCCTGCTGCCTTTGCTGCCTCCGGAGGGCTAGAGCTAACGGTCCCCAGGGCCTTAACCACAAGGCCAAACTGTTGCTCAGAAGTTCTGCTGACGTGGCCATGTTTTAAGGCCAATTTGTCGGCTTCTGAATACCGAATGTCGTCCTCATCCCAAGATGAAAGTTCCCAATCAACATATGAGAAAAACTGAAAACTGATTGCGAGAAAAATATTGTAATACCTTTCTAAATTTTTAATGGCTGTAGCTCTCTAGTGTGTTAAACTGCAATAGCATAGTTACATCTAATCCTGTTGTATTTTTGTTTTTCTGCTAAATTTTTAAAATTTGTACCCATCTCATCTGAGTCTCTATGTGCTTGCTTAGCGTGGCTAGAGTCCACTCAGAATATCACAGCGTATTGTGCCTCTCTGTTTGCTCAGTAAGTTTCAACTCCTCCCAGATGGCTTTGGACGGCAGCCAAGGTCTATCAGGACCTGGGCCAATTTTGTTGTTTCTCAAAGATGCCACTCCACATCTTGGTGAATGGGACTTTAACGGTGCAGATGCTTCCTTTCCCTGGAAAGTCTCACCCCACGTCCGGTTTGCCCTCCTGCCTACTTGCAGTGAGCAGCATCAACCTGGGAGGCCCCCAAAAGCCCTGATGCTTCTTAAGCCAAGAGGATGGGTGGAATAGGAAAGGCCTCTAATACACCTTCCCTGAGTGGAGACCATCCCCCAATACCTCCCTCTGCCCCTTCCACTCTTGTGTTAACTTCTCCATCTATGGGGCCTCTTTAATTAGGGTTCAGTGCCTGAATGGCCCATTTCAGCTGAGGGATTAAAATTTTTGAAGGGGTCATCAAAACATTTTGCTTCAAAGCAAAAAACAAGTAAGCAGATTTTAGGGACTGCAGAAATTGTCACTAAATGCTACTTAATGTGATAGAATTAGAAAATTATTTGATACATAAGTGGACGGTGATTATATTAGCCATATCTGAATTTATCATAGAGCTTGCACCAAAAGAAGACAGCCTAGAAAATATTGGGAACCTTTGGTTTAAGGGTTGTGAAGAATTAGTTTAGTTTAACTTGTCTAAACCATGGAGTTCAGAAATGTCATCAGCCGTATCAAAAATCAGAGTATATTGGAGAACATTTCTTCTATGAAAAATTACATCCAAGGCTAGTTTTATTATTTGGGAAAGCTTCACTCTCCTTCAGGATCCTTCCCTATGTCCTGCAGACACGGCATTTCAATGTTCAGGAGGCCACCCGCTTTGTGTCTGGGCCTGGGGCCAAGCAGCCCATGAGTGTGGCTGAGGACTTGGCCCAGGCCTGGATGCCAGCCGACCAGGGAGAGCCGAGCTGCAGCAGTCCCAGCGGGACGCCAGGGCCATGGGCCAGGAAGCGCCTGATCTGAGGGAAAGGCCCTCTGCAAGGAGCAGTTTGAGGACCCAGCTTATTTCACTTGCCAGAACCATCTATGGTGCTGAGGAGTCCCAGAAGGGGCAGAAATTGCGGGCAGGACAAGGAGTGAAATTAAAAGAGAGGGGATCCCTGACAGTTTCAGCTGTTAAATGGGGAGAGAGAGTCTGCTTGGAGTCCCCTCTCTGGCCATTTTGGGGGCTGGAGGGAATGGCTTAGTGTGGTGATGGCAAACTTATGACACACGTCAGTGTTGACATGCCAGTCTTCACCCATAGCCAGCAACTGCTCTTGTGCAATTTTCAGAGGCAACACCAGACTGGAAGGTGCTCATTCATGGCCTGCAGAGACTTCAAAAACCAGGCAAGAGCCAGGGTGCTTTCGCAACATGTTTAGAGGCTTCTCGGAAGCTGCTTCAAGAACGAAGGCCTCATGCGACCCAGAGCAGCCTCTGGTGAGCCACAGGTCCTGAAGGGAAGCTGGGTGTAGGGAGCCATGGGGCAATGGCATCATGCCATGAGGCTCGGGCACCAGCCTGGGGGAATGGCACGAGGCAGCCTTTGTGGGTGGCCGGAATGGCACCAGGGCTGAGGTCGGTGCCAGGGCCTTGGCAGAAGATTGCACCAAGCTCTCTGTGACTCAGAAAAGGCCTTTCGCTCTATGGCTGTCCGGCTATTTCATTGCCAAGTGCCAACAGCATTGCCACCATGTGGTTATGTGAACCTTGCCCGTATGGATTCTGGCATATTCCTCATCTGTTTTGACACACCCTCTCCTCTTTAGAGGCAAAATGCAATGATATCAAAAAACATTTTCCCAACAATTCTGTATTTTGTCCACCCTTAACAGAGTAGCTATTTACATATACCCCCATTAGGGAAGTGGAAAAATCAACTAAAATCACATTTTAAAAATTACAACGCACATTCATAGAACATAGGAAGACTGGAAGGGACCTTGGAAGACCTGCTCGAGCAGGAGACCTTATACCATTCCAGACTGGTTGTCCAATCTTTTTTCATAAGCTGACAATAAAAATTATTCACATTTAGAAATATCAACTTTAAGAGAATATTAACCTTTCATTCAACAGTTCATCTGAGGTTGATCAGGTCTGTTCACTTGTTTGCAATTAATTAGATGCTTTCAAAATGATGTTTAGTATTAAATTCAAGAGAAAGTTATATAAAGAAGTTGATGCAAAGGAGGCAGATATTCCGAGTCAGTCGGGGTCCAGCACACACTGGTCCACAATCTCCCGCAAACTGGGATTCTCCATTGCTGCCGCGACTCTCTCTTTATCATTGATTTGTTTGTTGACTGCAACACAATGGAAAAATTCTCAAGAAGCTTTTGGCTGGAAACCAAGCAAGTTTATCATCAAAGCAACTGCAATCTGCCCCATAATGTTCAGATAAAAGGTTTATGGAGATTCTCAGCCATCCAAGTCATGGTTTCCCCAAAGGTGCTTTTTCAAAAGGCAACTGGGCTTACTTTGTTTCTGCTTAAAGACATTTCGCTTCTCATCCAAGAAGCTGCTTCAGTTCTTATCTAAGCTTCTTGGATGAGAAGCGAAATGTCTTTAAGCAAAAACAAAGTCCAGTTGCCTTTTTAAAAAAGCACCTTTGGGTTAAGAGGGAATGATCAGGAGGCTGTTTTTTTTCACTGATTATGTGCCATCAAACTGGTATTGACTATTAGCACCCACATATAGTACACAGATTTGTCTCCATGAATTTCTCTTCATGCCTTTCTTAACTGTTCTTTTTATTTTTTCTCAACCATCAACCTTCCTCTAAATGAAAAATTATGGTAGCAAGCATAATTACTACATGCAGTGGTATAATGCAACAGTTAAGGTCAAAAATGTGCAACTTTTAATCTATGTTTTGCAACAGTATGAAAGCTGAAGCAAATGTCTTACAGTGGGGTTCACTTAGATGCATCAGCTCCTACCTGGTGGAAATCCTACCTGCCCTACTGCCCCAGGAAACCTTCTTCTAAAGGACAACTTGGAGGGAGGGCGTGGCTTTAGGAAGTTCACTGCAAAGGTTCAACCTCTAACAATGTCATCCTTTTCTAATAATGATCTGTAGGCAATATTTGGTGCAGCAGACCAGGGAGACCTGAGGTCTACCCCCTTACCCTTAACCACCCCCAAGCATGGAACATTCTCAGTGCAAACCACCTCTGGGTCTTGTGGGGGGAAATGGAGGCAATCAGTTTTAAACTGCTTTTCCCCATTAACAATATTTCAATCTTAAGCACAACCTGAAGGTATACTTACTGTCTTCCTCAATAGAATGTGCCCCCTCTGCTATGTAGATTTCCAGCTAGATGAGATAGAAAAATGTCAGCTTAGAAACACCTGTACATTGTACTTGCTCTCTCTCGTTCTCTCTCTGCATTCAACTATGCTGAATAAATAACCTACCCCCAACATTTCTGCTTTAAAAGCAAGGAATTATTTGTCATGTATACTGTAATAGTTACATATCTGAATGAGTATGATAAATATGCAAGTACTTCCTTCCCTTTTGAAAGGCCCCTTTAAAACCCAATTTCAACTCAAAATTAATGCACTTTTAAATACTTATTTACCCTTTAAATTGTCTTATCTACTTCCATGCCAGAACTACGCTTGACAGGACAATGTGCTAGTGAAGAATCTGAATCCCAAGGGGCTTGGTTTTTTTTAATGCAATGAGTGAAATTCTATTGCTTGATAGTCAGTTCCAGTTTGCACCCTTTCGAGTTGTGTGAATTCAGAGTTCAGCTTAGCACAAAACAATACAACACATCATTCACTCGTGAGGATGGGTGCATTGCTCCTTGCACACTGCAACAAACCTGTTGGAAGCTACTGATCCCTGGCTGTGGTGTCAGGCAAAGGTGAGGCTAAAGCAGCCAGCAAGCTCTTGCAGGGGGCTGGCTCTTCTACACAAGCAGGCAGGCCTGGGGAGGCCAACTATTGGAGACCTAATGGGGGAGTCCCACACCTCCCCCTTCACTCCCTGCTTCCTCACCCGCCCATTCTCACATCTCTATATTCTCATTGTTTTTTGCACTGTTTATTGTTTTGCAACTTTGCTACTGTTACATTTACACTTCTTTTCATTTCTGTTTTATTGTTGTAAGCCACCTACAGTAGTCCTATGGTGAGATAGGTGTCAAATAAATTTAATCAAATCAAATCCTGCACCCCGAAGTGAGGTTGGCCCCACCCTATCCTTTTGTAAGAGTCTAAAGACCTGCTCTGCCAATTGGCTGGGGCCCAATGGGGGAACAGTAGAATGGAAATGATTGATCAAGTAACAAGAGATCCCACCTCCCCCATCTGCCTCTGCCCTCCCCAGGTACCCTTGATTTTTAATTCCTGCATTTAATTTATGTTTTAATGTATATATAACTTTTGACTGGTGGCTGCCTAGTTACCATAGGGTAAGAAGGGCAGCCAATAAGACAGATAGACAGACAGGTAATGATAGGTAGGTAGGTAGGTAGATAATGATTACATGCCCATCCCAGGCCGCCATCTGTGAATTACTTCACTATAGTGTGCATATCAGTGATGGCTGCCTAGAATCACCTCAGGCCTCTCCATTGCTCCCTTCTCGCAAACCACCTCCTTCCTCTGTGGATGAGGACATTCAAGGTGTCGCTTGCCACCATGCAATTCTTACATAGCTCAAGTAGTGTCATCAACATGGGTCTTCCAGGAGACCCCATTCCCAGTTCAATGCAGAGAAAACCACAAATCACATACCTTGTGCTTGAAAGGTAAACATCGCTGAAGTTTGATCCTCAAACACAGTCCTAAATTTTCATAAAAAATACTTCAGTTTGCTTTTCAAATGTAAGACTTATCCTGTCTCTCTATTATCAGAAGAGCAACTGACCACAGAGGAAAGTCTGCTCTAACCTTTGGCAGACTGGCTTAGCAAACATTTTGGGAGAACCTGGCTTAAAAAAGGTAAACAACTGTACAAAGTCCATTTTTTCCTCCGGCTGCAAATAACATAGGGAGAGCAGCTGTTTCCAACCCGCTGGAATGCTTGTCACTTGGGCAAGAGCCTCTCCAGGCCTCTGCTCCACCCAGCCGGGCCTTCCACCTGCACTCAGGGGAAGCAAAGCCTTGCCTGACAATCCCTGCAGTTGAGCGCAGCAGGAGGGGCTGCTGCAGGGCAAACCCAAGGAGAGCCCCGAGGTGCAAGGCTCGTAAGCGGCCTCGGTGGTTAAAACCAGTGACTGTGGCCGCCTAGAGGCGCCTGGGATGCTTCGGGCGGCTGGCGGGGCCCTCGGGGCAGATGCTGCGCAGGGGCGGGGGGGTACGGGCGGCCTACCGATGAGCGTGGCCAGTGAGCAGTGGGGCACGGTGGGCGTGAAGCGGATGGTGATGAGGCTCTCGCCCGGCCCGATCTCGGCCACCTCCACGCAGCTCTCGCTCACCACTTCCAGCTCCTCCAGCGTGTTGGGCTTCTCGGGGTCGCGGATGGTGCGGATGAGGTCTGCGCGGGGCAAAGAGAGGCGCGGCGGCTGAGCGAATTCCCTGCGGGACCCCCGGAGCCCCACACACCCCGCCCCCCCCGCCGCCCCCGGAGACCCACCGTAGACCTCCAGCGCCCGCTCCTGTTCCTGCGCCATGGCGGCCGCCCGCTCGCTCTCGCCCCCGCGCCCAGGCGCCGCGTCCGCATAGCCCGCGCTACCGAGTGCCCGCCACAGCAGCCCCAGCGCCAGCATCGCCGCTCCGGGGCTTCCTCGGCAGGGCGGCCGCCGGCGGCAGACAGGCCTCCATGAGCGGAAGTCGGCGCGCGCGCTTCCGGCGAGGGCGGGGAGGCGGCTGCGCGGTGGGGCACGGGGCCGGAAGTCGCGGAGGACTACAGCGCCCGGCAGGCCTCGCGCGGGTCTCTCGGCGGAGATGGCTGAGGCGCTGCGGGTGCTGCTGTTGCCGCCGCTGCCGCCTGCGGAGCCCCCGGCCGGCCGCCTGCGGGCCAAGCTCAGCCGCGGGCGGGGAGCGCTGGCCGTGGCCGGGCCAGACGAGCTGCGTCTGTCCAGGCTGCCCTCGGCGCGTCTGCCCGCCGTCTCGCTGCCCGGCGCCTGGGAAGAGTAAGCGGGGCCTGCGGTGGGGAGGGACGGAGGGAGGAGGGCCAGGGTCCCGCGAGGCTCCCCTCCCCAGGAAGAACCCGGCCCGGCCGCTGACTCCCCGGGCGGAGGGGCTTCCGGGGTGGCCGGCGGGGGCTCCGCTCGCTCAGCACTTGGGGGGGGCAGACGGGGGGGCAATTGGAGCAGGGGGGGAGATGGAGGGAGGGCAGACCCGATGGAGAACAACGCGGCTCTTGCAGCTTCGTGTGGGGCAGCGGCGAGGCGGAGGATCCGGCGGGGGACCGCCTGCAGCTGCTGGCCGTGGCCGAGAGCCGGGGACTTTTCCTCTACGAAGCCGCCTGGGAGTCCGGGAAGTGGGGCGCGACCCTCCTGCGCAGCGTCCCCGAAGAGCGACTGCGGGTCCTGCTGGCCCCCCGGGAAGCAGGCGAGTCTCTCCTCTCCAGGGGGGAGGGGGAAGAGGGGGGCTGCCCCGGGCTTCTTCCTGGCGGAGGGAGGGGGGAGGTTTTCTCTCTCTGGCAGCCGCTGGGTTGAGGCCCCTCGGTCGGCCTCCCCAGCAACTGCAGACCTGAGCTTGATCTCCGTCCGGTGAGGAACCGTCCCAGCCGCCTGGTCTCTGCAGGAGTTCCCGGTGCCTCAGCTGGTCTTCAGGTGCTGCCGCTTAAGGAGAAGGGGAGCTGCTCCGCTCCAGAGCTCTTCTGGATAAACAGCCCCTGTGGTTGCCTGGAGGTTACTAATTGGGTTCCACCACTGTTCATCCAGGCCCGTCTCTCTCAGGGCCACTTTATGTACTAATTTCCTCTAGCTCTCCCCATATGCCCACTTGTGCTTTGTCCATGGGATAAGGAGAGAGAATGCACTGAATGGGAATCCAGGTAAGATGGAAATGCTGCTGCTTCTAGCAGATGAGCTAATTCGGCTTTATTGTAGGGCTATGTTAACCAGATCTTGCAAGTTTGAAAGTACAAATGTTTATCTTTCTCTGATTGTTCCCTCGCCAGCAATTCTTCCCAAGGTCATTCCCAACCCTTGCCCTTCCAGTGTTGATGGGGGTGTGGTCTTCTCCATATTTCCTTGATTAGGGTATTATTTTCTGCTTTGATTGTTTGCCAGGTATTAATTCCTGCTTTATCTGGGTGTGGAGTGGTGGAGAGGATCTGTTTATGCTGTATGTTGCAGGTGACTCCTATGTTTTTTTTCCTGGGGCTGCTAGGTCCCCTGATCCACTTTGGAGAGTTTTAGTTGATTTGTGCCATGTGGTTTTAATAATCTTTTACTTTTTTTCTGAGATGTTTCTGGCATTGGCAGTGCTATCTTTTTCATCGCTTGTGTTGATTGTATTGTTACTGGATTGATTGGTCAGGCACTTTGATAAAATTATGGGTATCCATTTCACTGGAAGGGTTTGTATAGGTGGTCTGTTTTCTTTTTTGGTTGTTCTTGTGTAGCAGGTGTGTATTTGTGCTCATCCGAATAATGTTCTTACACAGCTTCTCTTTTAGGAGGTTGGGTTGTTTCTTCGATAGCGGAACACTTCGTGTGGGTGATTAATTCTATGCTGAGTTGGATTCATAATGGCTTATATAGTTACGTATAAAACATTCATCAATATAATAGTAAACAAAATGCAATAAAATATAAACAAGTATTATAGGCATTGGAATAGATTGATAGTTTTTTAGTAGTTGTCTCAAAATTGCAGGAAACAGTGTTATCAATTTTTGGAAACGAGAGGTCCATGGGGCTGCAAAAAAATCATAATTATTTATGAAGATTGAAATTCTCTAAGTGCTGGGTTAACAATCTAGTTGAATATGCTTTTTTAAAATCAGCGTTTCTCTGCATGTTATTTCTCCTTTACAAAATATGAAATATTCCTTATTTCTCTTTTACAGGCGTACTATCTATTTCCTCCTTGCAAGTGCTGTCATTTAAAAATGGCAGAGCTATACTGTTGCTCAACAATTTTGTGATTGCACATCTGATTTTTCCTGGAGGAGAACTGGGGGAAGAGGTGGAAGGCTGCTTTAGACTTGATTTGCCCCCACAAACTTTGGAAAGGACAGTGAATGTTACTTTCTGCAGAGGTATCCTCTTCTTGCTGGATGAGACCGGATGGATACGTATCCTTTAATGTAAAGCCGGTGTTGGGTGAGCTTCCAAGGATTGTTTGGCCATATCCCAGACTGGGTAATGCTGAAATCTAAGAATGAAAATTGACCTACTAGACATTTAGCATATTAATTCCCAGCTTTACTGTGAAAAAGGCAAAAAGTCCCCTGTAGATCCAAGGGTGCTTGCAAGGTGAGTGAGGAGGACAGAGAAGGGCAGATGGGATTCTATATGCCCCATGACTTGTAGTCTGCGAGGTGCCCACCCTGCTTTAGGTTACTGTTTGCTTCTGGGCTGACCCAACCACACTGCTCTTGTACTTTTCCAACAGCTTCTCTTCTGGGGGCCTTCCTTGACTCACAAGAGTCTTCAAGAATTACCAATAAAACAAATAATTTTTCCTCTTGAGACTCATCAGTGGCATATATAATCATGAAGAGTTAAATGTTTGAAATCCTTTCATTCACTTTCCAGGTCTCTGGAGGAAAATTGTGCATGCTAATTATACATCTTCATTGACTTAAAAACTACAGCACTAATATGTTTCCACTGAAAGCAGGGAGAGTGAGTTATTTCAGCCATTGTTAAAAGACATAAGAAGTTAAGAAAAGAGTATTTCTTCTTATAATTAGATTTATGGTGGAGGTTGTAACCCTGGTTGTGTCATCTTTCCCTAGATGGGAATTCAGCAAACTAGCCCTGTCATTTGTCTGGCCTTGAACTCTGGCCTTGATCTTTAACGGCTGCATCCTGAACATAAAACAGAACACAGAACATAAATGTCCTTCACAGAACATAAAAAGATTGATTTTTAAAGCATAGTAGTATTTTCCCAGCAGCAATTCTATTGTATTTATAGTTTACTTGATTTCCTGTGCATAGTTACTCTAAAATAAGATGACTTTGCCCAGTGAGGCTTAATCTGAAGCAGGAATGTCTACAATCAGGCTCTTTGAAGGGCAGGTTTCTTTTTGTCCTATTATTTCAACAGCCTTTGAAATTCTTTCACTTTTTACAAAGATATATTTGGCGCTAGCGATGGTGCCTATTTGGCCCACATCAGTGTCGCTCTCTATCAGTCACGGGGGCAAGAAGAGAGGAAGCAGGACATGCCGTTTCCTCTTGGGCAGCTGAGTATATCATACGATCTCAGCACCGCTGTGGTTGTCAGCCACTCCAGTTGTGTGGCTGCTGTTGACCTCAACTTGTACTTCAGGTAGGTGGATTGAAATGATCGAAGGCTGCTTCTCGAAGGCTGCCTGATTCCCAGCATAAAATTTTTTTTTTGCAGATGATTTATATGGCCACCCATTTTACTTCAATGGTTCTGAATGGTTTATAAAGATTAAGAGCATGAAAACCACACATATAACTGCCTAAGGATAAAACGGTAACCCCTCCCTACAAAAAAAACCCCACATCAACAGCAGTAGAACTCACCTGTGATAAGAAAATGCGTGAATATTTGGAAATTTAAAAAGTCTTCCTGCTCCTAACAAGTAAATATTTCATAGCTGCCTTGGGCAGGATTCCAGGTCTTTCCAGAGAAAAGGCTAGTTAGAAGTCTTTCTAATTACATTTTTGTAGCACTCAGTAGCTGAACTCCTTTAGCAGTTCACAGAATCATGGTTAAACCTCTATACATACATTAAAAACCCTTGGTGCTTTTCTGTCAGGGTTATATCAGCCTTACTAGATAGACAAGAGCAGGAAGCACTAATACAAGCAGTTCTTGCTTAATGATGTAGCTAAGTAACGGGGTCATAAAATACAACACCAGGTGACGTGCCACTTAGCAACAGCAATTTTGGCACTCCTGGATGCTCTCATTAAGCAGAGCACCATGGATTGCTGAGACCATTTGTGACATCCTGCTGGCTTCCCCATTGAAATACCTGTGTTGTGAAGCCCAGGCTTTGATAGTGAATACCCACTATTTGTTCTTTAAATAAGACAGGATCTCCCACATTCACATCTGATTTTCACCCTATTGATTAAAATGCCTGAGTCCATTCCTGTCTAATGAACTGAGAATCTTAGGGCTTCCATGCTTTGGTCATAGGCAAATCTATAGTTTTGGATCATTTTCCTCAATGAAAAAGTATAATAATATGGATTTCTTTGTTTATTTGAGTATCTATCTGTCTGTCTGTCTGTCTGTCTGTCTGTCTGTCTATCTATCTATCTATCTATCTATCTATCTATCTAAAGATGATTAGGAGATTGGAGGCTAAAACATATGAAGAACAATTACAGGAACTGGGCCTGGCTAGTCTAGGGAAGAGAAGGACCAGGGGAGACAGGATAGCAGTCTTCCAACATT